ATAATACTGACTTGAAATAGTCAATAATTAGTCCATTCGATCGCGCTACAATCAATATAATTAGTCGAGATTGTTAATATATAAAGATGAGAAAAGCAAAGATTGGTTAGTTTTCTAAGTTTGCTTCATAGAGATTTAGTAAAAGACTTTATATCGACATAGGTTACCTCTTCTTCAGTCGATATTTCTCATTGTGTTTGACGTGGATAACATTCATGAAACGAAGCCTACAAGTCGATATTTATTTCTCTGCTTGAAATATTTAAAAGCTAATGAAGTAGCTTAAAGTCTGATATCAATATTAAAGTAAACGTTAGACTAACTTTAAAGATGATGATTACATCATTATTGACAAATCTTTTAATCTCAAAGTAAATAAATAATTTTCTTTTAACTTTCGTTCTTTATGTTTTAATATAGATTCAGCAATGGTCAAGGAAAATTGCATAAAGAATTAATATATGAACAATAAGATTTAGATAGTCATATTCCATTGAAATTATTAAATTTATTGAAAACAAAGTTCATCTTCGAATGATAAGCAAAAATGTAAAAATTGGTTAATTGATATTTATATATCATAAGGTATGACAATTAATCTTAAAACAAATTCAAGAAAAGTCTTCATCAGAACAACAAAAATATGAAGGTAAATTAGGGTGTGGATCTGTGTAGGAGTGGGATGGTGTCGGTTATAGGATTGCTTCCATTTACACCCACATCTTTGTAGATATATCTTGCTGATTTCAATGATTTTAGTTCCTATTGAAACTTTATGGAGCTATTAAATATTTAATATGTCTATATGCTAGATGGGTTCCTCCATAAGACGTCAGGTTTTCGCAAAGTCGTGTTTTTGAAAAGTTTATATCTCGAAGATACAAAGTTGTCAAATGTTTTCGAAAACCTCAGATCTTGCGCAGAGATCCACTGATAAATGGATGTATTAAACATTCAATAGCTCTGTTAAGTCTCCATGGACACTCACACACTTTTAGGGTTTTTCATTAAAATACTATCTAGTATGCATAGGCAAAAAGTTGTTGACATATAAATCGGACATTTCGATGGATCCCTTCGTTAAAACGATTTATTCAATACGTTTTTCACTATCAGTCGTTTTAAAACTCGGAACAAAATCTTCATCAAAAGCTAATTGATGTAATGAAAATGGTTCATGATGTAAACGAATTCGTTTCGGTATTTTTTCTTCATTAATATTGTTTCCCATCGGGAATTATCGTCCTGCAACTCTACAGCGTTATCGGAATTTGAAATCACTTAATAAACGTTGATCAACTAATTATATTGTGTGACTTTTTGTTATTTATTATCAAAGATAACAAAATAATTCAATATTTGAAGTTACAATTTCATTTGCAGCGTGGCACACATAGATGATATCGAAAAAGTGCCACATTTGAATTAATTTGAAGCATAGAACTTAATGATTGAAATGTAGATAGTTTGAAATCTGATAATCGAAATTGTGGTTCAGAAATAGTTATTACTGTTGATGATGATGGTTGAGGCATTGGAATAACAGGTGATATAAATGAAACTTGAGAATCAGGACTTGATAATTGTTTTTTAATTTTGTCAAAATAATCTTTATTAATTAATATGTGATGAACTAGAAGTTCCTGAAAAAAAGTCAAATTTAGCAAAATTTTCTTTTGATTGACCTTTCTTAGTAAATATAGAATAAAGAGTTTTGTTAAAAAGCTTATCAGAATAGCTCAATTGAAACTAAAAAGTGGACATTTCCGTATTCCGTTTTTCTCAACGTAATATTATTATTGTTCTAATCATTGATTTAACTGACAAATAAGCCTGTTGTTCTTGGTTGCTATGAACAATGAGAGAAAACCACAAAAATTCGGCTCAAAACTTACATTCACTATATTTTTCTTTGAAAAACATAATGTAAGTTCTATTACATGTGTCCATTATATAATTATAGAATTGATTTTGGATCCGAAAAATATCAGAACAATTGATTAGATCAATACAAAATATATACGTTTCTTACATTTAATTGAATTTCTAATTGTTTACAACGATCTTCAATGATTAAAGATTTGATATTCGAAATTCTAAAAAAAGCATAATTTTATTTTATAGATTTTGCACAAACAGTTTGTTGAATATTTCCTGATTTCTACTACGCGTTTTAAAATAGAAAGTGGAATGTGACGATCAGAGTTGCCACCTCTTCTGCTTTTAGCAGAAAAATTCTGCTTTTTTTCTGTCCTTTCTGCTTTTTGGATTTATTTCTGCTTTTTAAAAACGTCTTTCTTTTTATAATTTATATCGACGATCTTGGATTCTGTTAAGTGATTACACTAAAAATGTGAGAAATATAGCTATCTCCATTTGCTAATGTCTCTTCTAACTCTGAGCCTTCATTCTTGAAGCAAAACCTATTGTCTGCTCTTTACAAAAAGTGCAAATCTTATTTTCATGGTCCGTCTTGACTCTTTTCTCAACCTATTTTTTCCTTTCCTTCTAGAGTTCGAACTATGACTATCAAGGTCATGTGTCGTACAACAGTTTGTAGCATTGAAATAATGCACGTACACATTAAGTACACCTTTTTCCTCGAGTAATCAATCCATTAAATTAGTTTTTAACAAATAGTGCAACTAGTCTAACAATAACTGAGATACTCAAAATGATAAAATCTCAATTTCCAACATCAGATAGTGCTATAATCTTTTTATTCACAGCGAAGCGTAAGGAGTAATAGTGCTATCCAGGATATGCAGCTTTCTATTATATAATAAGTCATATTTAATCTGCATATCAGTTCACGATTCTGTTTATTCCAAACACACAAGAAGATATGCTGAAAAGAATACAAATGCCTAGCAATTCGTAACAGAATATAATTTAATCTGAGATAAAAGGAACAAATTTTAATCTATTCGTTTTTTAAAAATATGTTCATAGCTGACTTAAATTTATCTTGATATACAAATGGATCAGAATTTCTACGTATCTAGAATCAAATGAATTGAACTGTACTAATGACGTCATTAATATTGAGATGTTTCTAAAAAAACTAAACATGTGAAGGAGTTTTATTAGCATTATCGTTCATCATTATGTAGAAAAGATCTGAATTCTTTCTTTAGTATACAGGTATAACCTATAACCCTACAATCCTACAATCTAAAGCAGAACTTCAGATCCAGTTATGAAAAGTATTTTCAACAGTTTTTATAGCTGATTAACTCTATTTTCAAACTCAGTATCATCAGTCGCTTGGTAGACGGAAAAATCCATAAAAACCGATGTTAAATTATACGAACACGGCGAATATCAATCAATGACTTACTGGAAACTATCAATGCAGACGAAAATATACATTGAAAGAAAATGTGCCACTAAATTGTATTTATCTGTTAAATAGTTTTTTTTTACCCGAGTTCACATGAGAAATATTAGATCCTGGTGAGGAACATTCTTCTTGTGACAGTGAGAAAATGCTTGAGACATAGTTTGGCATGGAAAAAATGCTTTCTGCTTTTTTTCTGCTTTTTCAGTTTGAATTTTCTATTTTTTCTGAGAGATTTTTGGCTTTTTGAGCATTACAAGGTGGCAACTCTGGTGACGATAACTTGTATACTTTGCGAACAATAGAAAATATTGCTAATCGGTTTTGGTCTAATTTTAGCTAAGTTTGTGGCATATCGATCTATGGCAGACAAGTTTTCTTCAATGGGATTCCTAAAGGACTTTTAAGTGAGTCTTTAGAAAACTAGAGATTCAAGTAGTGAATTTAAAATTTTAACATATACGTGTATATTCCATAGAGAAAATTGCTTCATGTCGAACTACCGAAACCTAAGTCACTACCTAGGCTTAGACAACAGTGATTGACCATACTGGGTCGAAAACAATCTACCACTATTATATAAAGATTTTCCAGATATCAGCTGTTGACGTTATATAGTGGAAAAAAGCTGAAATTGAAAAATCTGAATATAATTATGGTGGATCGTTGTTGAGACTAGAAACTAATACCACTAATAGATTCAACATGACCAATTAATCATTTGTAGATCTACCTTTCACTAATCCAGAGTCAAGTGGCTGAAATCGGATGTCTTTGACAAACCATTAGAACTCTTCAATAATACAAACTTCCATAGCTCAAAATTGTACAATTTTCTCTATCACATACATATTTAAATACAGTGAATTCAATGTGCCACGAACTTGGCTAAAAGCTGATTGAAGTCATTTTTCAATATCTCTTATCGTTAGCAAGTTATTCAAGTTGCAATAACTTCTTATCTATTTTGAAATGTGTAGATATCGAGAACGTTTCACAAAGTGTGCAATGCCTTGACTATTATACTATTTGTCTTCGGCCGGGTAAACTTAACGCACCCAAACACTGAATGTTTCTTTTTGTTTCGTACAAATCATAGTAAGAATTTCATATTTCAATGTGTTTCATTTAAAACTGTATCAAAAAAAAAACACGCTTTATAGCTAAATATTGTACAATCCATTTCCATAATTGTTCATCAATATTTAATAAATCTTTTAATTCTTGTGTCTAAAATATCACAAACGAAAATATTAATTGCTTTTTGTTTTGAAAAATAAAACCTTTTGACAAAGATTCGAAAATGACAAGTTATTAAATGTAAATGCAATTTTATCATTAATATGTTCAGGTTGTTGTTTTAACCGAACAAGATTATAAGTTAGGTTATTAATTAATGTACGAATATTTGCATTTTGTATTAATGATGTCTAAAAAAAGGAAAAGAAATGGAATATGAAAATTTGAGTTTTGTTTTCTTTTTTTTTTTATAAATAAACATACGCCTTTTTGTGTAGTATTGCCTTTTCCAATAGAATTAAATGATTTTTGTCCTCGATGGTATAACATTCATTGTTGAAAACATGTGAAATCATCTATGACAGATGGAATTTCTAAATAAATTGATAAATTTCGTAAAGTACGCTATGTGTAGGTCGTATGAAGAAAGATCATCAAGTGTCACGTATCGTTTTGAATTATATACAGGGTGTTTCATAAATAACACCCCGATAAGAAATTTAAATATCTCCGCTAGATGTCGACCAAATGAGCTGATATTTTTACCAGTGATAGAGGCATGTACCAAGTTTATATCCATAA